GATGATGATGATGATGATGATGATGATGATGATGATGATGATGATGATGATGAAGATGATGATGATGATGATGATGATGATGAGGGAGTGAATACTTACTTTCACAGACTCCACCATCTTCTCCTCCCTTTCCTCTTTCTCTTTCATTTCCTTGTCTTTCTCCGCCCTCTTTTTCTTCTCCTCTTCCACCTTCAGCACTTCTTTCTTTTTCTCCATCCATGCCCTGTAGGATGCTTCAGCCTCCAGCCTCTTCTCTCGTTTCTCCTGCGGTAAAACATGTCACGACACAAAAGCTTTAGGAACCATGAGCAACTCGCGACCTCAGTTCTTTCTTGTCCTATCTCCTGTTTTTTTAAACAGTGAAAATGTGACATCTTCTTAAGCTCACTCTTTGTAATGAGCTGTTTAAACTGTTATTGAAAATGGAGATAGGACAAGAAAGCACTGGGGTTATGAATTGTCAAGAAAGGAAAGGATCCCATCGTTCACCACCTGCTCAAACCGAGCCCGTTAAGTCCAACATTTTGAAAATGATTTTTGTGCATTGCAGTTTCTTAATCTGAACTGAAGTATCTATTTTGCACGTACTCGAGAAAGACCTTGACAAAATTCAAATTTTGACAAAATTCAAATTCTAAGTGTTAAAAAAAAGCAAGAAAAGATACACGATGTTGGTATTATTATTTTTAAAATGAAACAATTTTTTTTCTCCTGCCTGAAGAGTTTCGCTTTCTCTGCTTAGGACATCTGAACACCTCACCAACGATACTCGTTCTTATTCTTTTCCAGCTTGCACTGATCATTTGTTGTGGAAAATACATAATATGTGTCTCGACGTGGTGGAATCAGGCACTCGTCAATTTTAGGAGATGTAGAGTTATTGGTATCAGCTTGAAGCTTGTTCATTTGTCATGCTTTAGTTGAAAAAAAAATGTTCATCTGTCTTAAATAGAAGTCGAAATACTGGCCACTAAAGAAGGTAGGGGGTCGCCTGGTTCCAGAGGTGAAATCTCTCTCTCTCTCTTTCTCTCTCTCTCTCTCTCTCTCTCTCTC